CACACACACACACACACACACATACACACACTGCAGGTCAGACAGTCCCATTAAGGACCATTAACCTTTAAGGGCCCAGATTATAATCGGTCTTTAAAATGTGGTAAATAAATTATTCTCAGTGATTGAGAGGAAGGTTTTTTTAATAGTTGCATTTGTAACTGTTATCTTTTATATCTACAAGAGTTAACGTTCTTCTAGAGTTCTGATGATTATTAGAAAGGACATGATTTGAGTTTTTTACTGATAATATTTTATTTAAAACATATTACAGAAGTCATAAGAAGCAGGTTTATTTTTGAACAAACATTACAAACGTGTTCATTCCTACAAAACTGTCAAATATATTTACAAACAATACCAAACTGATTCAGATTAACATAAAACAAATCATGTTTTATAATTAAATGTCTGTTTCCTGCTATAAAGAAAAATCCTCCTCCTGTCCTCCTTGTTCCTAATTAGGGTCAGATTGGGGCTGGAGTCTGTCCTAGCTGTGAAGGCAGGGGACACCTGGACAGGTCTCCAGTCTCCATCAGGGACACCTGGACAGGTCTCCAGTCTCCATCAGGGACACCTGGACAGGTCTCCAGTCTCCATCAGGGACACAAAAGAGACAAACCACCACCCACACTCTGAAACCTTCTGGAGCTCTTCTGTGTGACTCTAGATGTGACAAACTGAGAACTCTGGACTCAGATCCATCTGGTGCTGCACAGAGTACTAATCACTTAATATAAATAATAATATTAAATAATTAAATTAGATTTTTATTGATAATTATCAGGAGGAATCATTAAATTTAGGATGTAGTTAGGCAATTAAATATTCACTATGTAAATTTATTACTATAATTGAAGGTGAGTCTGTTATGATTGTCTGTGTTAATGTTTTATTTTAGTTTCTGTCTTGTTATCTGTTTTTTTCCTCCTATTTGCCTTTGCTCTAGCCCCGCCCACTCTCACCTGCTCCTCATGTTTCTCTCCCAGGTGTTTCCTGTTCGTGCTCGTTAGTCTCATCTTTGTATTCTGAATCTTGTCTTCACTTCCCTGTCTGATCATTGTGCTGTTCACAGCCTGTATGTTTGTTGCCTACGAGTGAGTTCTTGAGCTGCCCTGTCAGTATTTTTTGTTTCATTAAATCCTTATTTTTGCCTTTTTGAAGCTGCCTGCACCCTGGATTCATTCTTTTTGCCAATTCATAACAGAATGATCAGACCAAAAACTGATTCCAGCAGGCAGCTTTTCTCCTCTCCACCCACAACTTATACCTTGTCAGCTTCTCCCCTCTCAAAAATCCTGGGGCTCCTGGAGGGGATGCAGGGTGAGCTAGATGGCCTTAGGGGACTCCGCTTCAGGGTACCCTTCAGAGTTGGTGGTGCCAGGGGTTTCTGAAGCCCACCCTCCCCACCTCTCTGATTTGGACCCTCCAGCTCTGGTTCCTGTGGACCCTCCAGCTCTGGTTCCTGTGGGCCCTCCAGCTCTGGTTCCTGTGGGCCCTCCAGCTCTGGTTCCTGTGGGCCCTCCAGCTCTGGTTCCTGTGGGCCCTCCAGCTGAGTCCTCTGCTCCTGAGGATCCTGGGTCGGCTGCCGTTGCCTCTTCGTCTCCTCTGTCGCCTTTGGTCACCATTGCCAAAGCTCTGGCTCCCTCAACCTCCGTCGGTTCCTCATTGGCTCCTGCCTCCTCCGTCAGTTCCTCATTGGCTCCTGCCTCCTTCCTCTGCTCCATGTCTGCTCCTGCCTCCTCCCTCTGCTCCTCGTCTGCTCTTGCCTCCTCCCTCGGCTCCACATCTGCTCCTGCCTCCTCCCTCTGGCTCTGCTCAGCTCCTGGGGCCTCATCGGACATGGAGTGGGGATCTCCAGGTCATCCTCCTGACTTTGGCCTCTGCGGCAGGGAGGTTCATGGCCGGCCTCCTGAACTTTTATTTTTGGGATGTCAGGAGTCGTCCCTTATTGGGGGGACTATGTTATGATTGTTGTCTGTGTTTAATGTTTTATTTTAGTTTCTGTCTTGTCATCTGTTTTCTTCCTCCTGTTTGCCTTTGCTCCAGCCCCGCCCACTCTCACCGGCTCCTCATGTTTCTCTCCCAGGTGTTTCTTGTTCATGCTCATTAGTCTCACCTTTATATTCTGGATCTTGTCTTCACTTCCCTGTCTGATCATTGTTCTGTTTACAGCCTGTATGTATGTTTGTTGCCTTACCTTGCCTTGCCTTGCTACAAGTGAGTTTTTGAGCTGCCCTGTCAGTATTTTTTGATTTATTAAATCCTTATTTTTGTCTTTTTGAAGCTGCCTGCACCCTGGATTCATTGTTTTTGCCAATTCATAACAGAGTCATGTAAAATTAGGTTTTTATAAGACAAGTGCCCTGCCCCCCAGACCAATTTCCTTGGGGAAACACTGATAATAGTTAAGAAATTTAATAATGCAATCAAATAGACGGTATACTGCAACTTCTGTGGTACATAAGTCAGCAGAATGCTGTGGACAACATGGACCAACATCAAAATGCACAAATGGACTTGGACCACTGTCAAAACTGCTTCGCAGCTCTAGTTAAGTTTGTAGTTGTAGCTTGACAAAAATGTAGCAAGGTTCAAACAATATGAAAAATGTTCACATATAAGTAGTGTAAATACATCTGTTTGTTGAATCAAACTACAGGTGCTGGTCATAAAATTAGAATATCATGAAAAAGTAGATTTATTTCAGTAATTCCATTTAAAAAGTGAAACTTGTATATTATATTCATACATTACATACAAACTCATATATTTCAAATG